AGAATGTGGTGTTAGAGAGCTGTCTAGCAGCCTCCTGGTCATATTCCAATTTATTCATGATGACGACAGCCCCTCCTTTGTCAGCCTTTTTGATTATGATGTCAGGGTTGTTTCTGAGGCTGTAGATGGTGTTGTGTTCAGCATGGCTGAGGTTATGGGGCAAGTGATGTTGCTTTTCCACAATTTCAGCCTTTGCACGTTGACGGAAGCAATCTATGTAGAAATCCAGTCTGTTGTTTCGACCGTCCGGAGGAGTCCACGCAGAATCCTTTTTTTTGTAGTGCTGACATCAGGAGTCATAATACTCAAAAAACAGTGGGAGAACACTTTAACCTGTCTGGCCATTCAATGACAGACCTGCGGGTGGCTATCTTACAACAGAAAAACTTCAAAAACAGACTCTAACGAGAGACTGCTGAGCTGGAATTGATATGCAAACTAGATACAATCAACTCAGGATTGAATAAGGACTGGGAATGGCTGAGCCATTACAAACATTGAATCTATCTCCCCTTGTAAGTATTCTCACACTTCTTATCAAACTGTCTGTATTGAGCTATCTTGATTACCACTTCAACAGTTTTTTTCTCTTACTTAATTGGCCTCTCAGAGTTGGTAAGACAACTCCCACCTGTTCATGCTCTCTGTATGTGTGTATATATATCTCCTCAATATATGTTTCACTCTATATGCATCCGAAGAAGTGGGCTGTAGTCCACGAAAGCTTATGCGCTAATAAATTTGTTAGTCTCTAAGGTGCCACAAGTACTCCTGTTCTTAATACGTTATTGTTTTGTTTACCTGGAGCGTCTGCAGGCATGGAGCTCCTCAGCTTCCTGTGGCCGTGGTTCGCAGTTCCCAGCCAATGGGAGCTGCGGGAAGTGGCACCACTTCCAGCAGCTCCCATTGGCTGGGAACGGCTAACAGTGGCCACAGGGAGCTGAGGGGCTCCATTCCTGCAGATGTTCCAAGTAAACAAAACATTCCGACCCGCCAGTGGCTTACCCTGATGGCCAGGAGCCAAAATTTGCCAACCCCTGAAATATAGGGTGGGCTTATGAAAGGGTCATACAGTTTTTGCTATTTTTACCTAACCATCTTGGGGGGTCGGCTTATAAACGAACGGGCCAATGAATGAGTGTATACGGTACTTAGTTTTTCTACTGCGTTGCATTTGCCACTGGTGCCCAGTCTAAAGAACTAAACAAACCTGGCACAGATATGAAGTTCTAGGCAGTTTTTCTTCTTTGGAATATGTATTTTTTTTAATTTGCTGATGTCATATCACTCAGTTTTGACAAATTACCTGTGAACAGATGAGCAGGAAGGAAAACTTTACAAGAGTTTCAGTGTGCATTTCAACTATACAACAGTGGTTGAACAAATTAGGTATAGCTACAGAATTTTTTTAAAATGGCAAAAAAGTGAGGAGAAAGCCACAGTACGCTATGATTAAATGACAAGAGACAAATATGATCAGGTCAAAAATATCCTTTTAACAAAAAGAATTCCAAATCAAGTGATACTAAAAATAGAATTTTAAAAATATAAAAAGATCTGACACTTCAATAATCTTTGCTGGTTTATATGTGCATTCCTCATTTATTTTAAATTCAGCCTTCTTGTTTTCTTTATTGATCATCAATACATCTTAAAAATATTTTATCATTCCTATGTAAACTCTGGACTGTGAACTTTAATTTCTGGAGGAACACGTATTTTTATGGTAACATTACATTGATATCATTATTGAAATGTCAGACAGAAGATTTCTTGAAGCAGTTTTGTGTTCACATGACAGCCTCCAGTATGTAAAGAAGCCTTATGTGTTGCTACCTATTTTGATCACTTTTTTTAATGTGGCTTTTAAATATGGATGAAATGGATGATTCCTAATGGTGTATTTTTACATTGATCTGTTGCATAAACACCTCTGATTTAACAAGACAGTCATTTCATGGTGGAAATTGTTTCAAATTTCTTATTTCAGAACACTGAATTACAATATTATTTCAGAATGACCACAGTTAGATCATTTTCTTACATTGTATATTTACAAAGTCCACATAATTCTGTGTATGTGTGTCGCCCCTCCCCTCCCCAAAGTGGTGAACAACCATACAAAGTGTGCTGGGAGAGTTTACTATGGAAATATTATATTTCAAGCTTCCAAGGGCTGGGGAGAAGCATGTGGGTGCATGTATGTGTGTAAAAGAAGGCTGGTCATTTCCAGAGTAATAGTTGTTCATTTCTTTTAGAAGATAAAACAGTCTTCATGCTGGGATTACTTGGACACATGGGGAATATATTGTACAGCGGTAAGACTCATACTTTCAGTTAAGAAAGATCTTAAACTATTTTTTTTCTTTCCTCTTGGTACCAGCTTGCTATGATATGTATTTATGGAAGTTAAATATGGAGGATTCTTCTGATCCTTGTTAATTTGGATTTTAAAATAGATTTTCTCTTACCATTTCTGTTATCCATTTATTTTGGGATAATATTATTTAATGTTAAAGTTAAGTTCTTAATTTCAACATTAATAACGTTCTAAATATAGTTTTAACTGCTAGAAAGAAATGGCCATGTGAAGTCTCTTTATTAATAATATTTTGTCCCCATTTGTAATAAATTGGTAAAAATTTACTTCCTTGAGCTTCCTTGGTTTTTATTAGTTGTTATTAAAGGAATTGTGTCTCCCTCTTCCAATGGGCTGGAGCTAGATATGTTTAGAACCAAATAAAGGCAGTTTGCAGATTTCTTGATAGAAGGTAAGGAATTTTGACAAGAACCTTTGAGTTTGATGTGAATTAATACAGTGTAGCTCAAAGCCATAAGTTCGTCTTCTGTAAGTTAGTCAGATGGTTAAACCTGCAAGAGCTACCTTTATCCTTCTGCTCTTTCTTTTTCCATCCAAATAAATGACATTGTTAATTTAATCTGTTTCCAGTTTTTTAAAAACTCAGTAATGATCAACATAACATGTACTAGAGCAAAACTCTCCTGAGCTGCTTCAAGGTTGGAGTATTAGATTTTATAATACTTCATAAAATATACAGTGACTTTGATTATGAAGACTACCTGGAGTCTAAGAAGGGTACCAACAACATGCAGCAGATTCAAAACTATTTTCTGATAGTTGCACACTGAATTGCCAAAACTTGTTCATTTGAAGGGAGGGGAAAGTAATGACAGATGTAACCCTTATCTTTTAGGGGCTAAGAACTTAATGGCCCATTTCTCAAATGAGATTTTACAATAACTAGATAGCTGTATCACACCCTTAAGTGAAGAGCTCATGGACTTTCCTGCATGGTTATTTCCAACCTCAACTCTTCTAACAAGCTTCCAAAGTTGTTTTTGCTTATAAAAGTGGAAATGGACCTGATAAAAATGTTTAGTCTGCAGGACAGTGTTTTATTTATCATATCACAAAAGAACAATGTTTTGTTGCATTGTGGTCAAAATAGAAGTGACCTTGCTTGTTCACGAGTGTTTGAAGCCTAGAGATAAGAGGCGCAGAATAATAGAGTACAATGGAAAGAGTGTAGTGTAATTATTTGTGGCTTGTCAAGTGAAGCCCTTTCAGGCCCCAAGTGATTCAAATCTGGGAACTCTGCACAATTCTGTAAACTAACCATAGCCAGCATCAGAGAAATCTCGCCCAGCTTCTCCGACAGTACTGAAATTGCATCAGTTTGTCATGCACTGAGCATGCCAGCTCCACACAATATCATTTGCTTGCAAATGGGCCTAGCCCTAAAGCCGTGAGACACATTCTTTGGTATCTGACTCTTGGCCTGTGATTTGTCATGTCTCTGGTGCTATCAGCGTGAAGTAATTTTAATAGATTCTGATGGTTTGCTTGTGGAAGGCAAAGAATGCACTATAGATTGTGTCAGGTAACTTTCTGTGGCATGTAACGTGGTAGAGGCTCTCATGCTGGTGATAGCTTCCTTGTTTCTCCATACTCTTTTTGTTTGGCTATTTTGTGTGGTATTATTAAAAACTGGTATGGACAGCTTTGGTAACTCTTCTCAGCATTTTCAAGTACTCTGTTGCTTAAGTCTTGCTCACGTGTAAATAAGAACCCTTTTTCTGTGAATAGTTTGTCATCTTCAATTGCAAACTGTAAAAATGAATCAGTGGTATTGTCTCTTGCCACCCAAGCAGAACAACTGCTGAAGTATGAAATGTAGAAAATAAAAATTTCCAAAGAATGAAACTGTATGTGTTGATACATAATATAAGGCAAAAATCTTTGTTAAGGTCAATATTAACAATGTAAAGGTTTGGGGTTTCTTGAGTGAACCATATATTCACTAGCATATTAGTACCAGGCTTCCCCTTGCAGTAACTTTTTATGCTGCAAAACCACCTATTTGCATCGCATAAAACTGAGGTTTTATTAACCCACTGTAGTGCAGAGATGATATGGAATTAATCACTTCATAGATTCTGGATATAGTAAATATGGAAATTGTTCCGAAAATTGGATCTTTTAACTTATTTAGAACAATTCAGCCACTTAATGAAATAAGTAAATGGCATATTGTCTGCTCATCTTTTGAAACCACTAAAATGAGATTATTTTGCCATTGACAACTCTGCTCTTTGCATCATTTTTTTTTCAAGTGACTGCCTTAATTGATTACTTCTATGATGTTAGAGTCTGCAGCGTAGATCTCCAGAATTCTGCTGACACCAATCGATTACCGTAAAGGTGCTAATGTTAGTGATTTCATCCAAGAAACATTCAAAAACTGTGTCAGTAATCTGTTGCTAAAAACTGTCAGATCATTGACTCCTGTTGTTTTGGACATGCAAGTGTTGATTAACAGGGACTTCTCTGGATAGCAAAACACATTTCTTTGAGTCCTGTGGAAAGAACATTTTTCTGTTTTCGTGCTGTACATTAGTGTGGAGTACATGCACACACATTAATTTTTATCTGATGGTTTAAAAATGTTTTTATTAATATTCATTGTATCCCTGTGGAATTCACGCAAGAAGTGCTCAGACACAGACCATTTCTTCTGACTTTTCCCTAGGGGATGTCTGACAGGAGAGTAACTCTGAGCTTCCCTGCAGCAAGTCTGCATGAGTCTTTGTTAATTCCTTACCCGCCTCACTCTCTGCACTGGTTTAGCAGCTTGCCTTATCTAAGTGACTGTTAAAATGAGGTTGAATTTTCCTGTCTTTAGTATTTACTCTGAATATATTTAGAATACTATACTGTATTATAAAACCCCTAGGAAGTATTTTGGATTGTGATCTGAATTAGTGTTCAGTAACATAAATGCAAAAAATGAAGGAAGTGTTTTGTCTTTAAGTTTGAGGTTGGATGTGCAGGGAAAATTCCATGTCTTTAGTTTCTGTCGCATTTCCATGAAAATGTTGAGGGATAGTATACTTTTCCTAAATTAATGTGCAGGTTGTTACAGTATGATGTGTATTGAGTGTGTGTGTGTTAATAGATACATACATAAAACCAGTTCTGCCTTGTCCCCTAATGCCAAACCAGAGTACCATGTTATATTGTCAAGTAGTGGTGGGAGGCACAGCGTGGAAGATCCCCTTATAAATCCTGTATATTAATACTACATCTGTTTCATCAGAGACAGAATAACAGGAAGCAGCAAAAGAACCAATTAATTCAGCCCGTTTAATCTCCTAATAAGTGTATGGGGAGAAAGTGTGTGTATGTGCATGTCGGACCTGGCTACATTGGCAGACCGAAAAAATTGCATAAAACTTATGTATGGAAATTTTATGGAAGTTTTAAAGACCCAAAGTGGGGAGTCCCACTGCACAATCTCCCTAATCCAGTGTTTATCACCTCACAATCCTCAATCCTCCCCTCATAGGCCAACAATTCTTCTTCCTTCCCCACTCCGTTAATTTTCTTCTTCATCAACCCTATTCCTTCCTGCAGCCTATTAGGTCTGCCACACCGTAGTTCTCTTCCCTCCTCTTCCCACTCAACCTATGCTTCACATAAACACTGAGTTGGGCTCCCTGTTTCTCCTCTTGCTGCTGTTCCTCTTGCTACCACTCTCACCATCTCTTCTCCTCCTGTTGGGTTCTCAGGACTTCCAGCCCCCAGCTCTGTCTGAGTCTATCTCAAGGACAAGGGAAAGCTGAGGATAAAGGAGGCAGGCTAGGGTGACTAGATAGCAAGTGTGAAAAATCGGGATGGGGGTAGAGGGTAATAGGCGCCTATATAAGAAAAAGCCTCGAATATCGGGACTGGCCCTATAAAATCGGGATAGCTGGTCACCCTAAGGAAGGCTGATTGACTCTGAGAGGAAGGCAGGGTAGTCAGCCATGGGAAGCTGAATAGTAAGGAACAGACCAAAACCTTTCTCTTTCATTGATTTCACTCTTCTGGGCAGAGTTCGTACATAGTGAGTTATGTTCAGTCTGGTGAAATGGAGTGGAGAGTTCCTTTCCCCTCCCCCTTTTTAACCTGAAAGCTCCTCTTACTGGAATTTTTGTTGAACCAACCATGTTCTCTTCAGTCTCTCTATCTCCATGTAGGAGAATGGATGCTTCCTCTTTTGCTCTCTGCAAGAGATCCTTTTGCTAATGGATTTCTTTTCTCTGGAAAATGAGTGTTCTTTTATTTTCCTCAGGAATTTTGCATTGGGAACGGAGAGCAGTGATTGGAGCAAATTTCCCTAGCATCAAAGAATTTCCTCTATTGCTTGAACTCCACCAGCAGTATTCAGCAGCTCTTCACTTGCTCTTGCAGCAAAGGGTTTAGCTGCCCAATGGGTGAGGGCACCAAGATAGTTTTAGCACGTGCCACTGGCCTGCCTCTCTTTGAGGTACAACACTTTGGAGACAGCAGCAGGGCAGTTTTGAAACAACTCTCCCAGTCTGCTCCGCACTTGTACCTGTATCAAGCTACAAAGCCTGCAGTCAAGTTTGGTAAAGAGGAGGAAAGCTCCCACAATGGGAACCAGTGCAGAGACAACTACCATAGGTCTCCCTTTGTGCTCAGGACTATGGCAGCAACACCTGCTGTGTTCTATCCCAACCAGTGCAAGCTCCTCTGAAACAGTTACACTCATACAACACGTGCTCTCTGTGCTAGATTAGTACCTCACTAACTGGTTGTAAGCAGTGTTGTCGTAGCCATGTTGGTCCCAGGATATGAGAGAGAGAAGGTAGGTGAGGTAATGTCTTAGGTAGGGTTACCATACGTCCGGATTTTCCCGGACATGTCCGGGTTTTTGGGCTTCAAATCCCCGTCCGGGAGGAAATCCCAAAAAGCCGGACATGTCCGGGAAAATCCGGACGTATGGTAACCCTA